CCCCAAATTAGTGAAGCAGGTCACATTTGGCTGTTTCTAGTAAACGTATCTACGAGTGATCTTGAGACAACAGCGGCAGAATAACGAACATCCAAGAAGCAGACAAGCGAACCAGATTAATGCAGGCATTGAAAACGGGTGTTGTCAAAGGATATTCTCTATCAGCGTGTGAGAGAAGGGAAGAGGGGGCAGGTGTTGAGTGAATCAACGCAGCCCTGGGGAGAAAAACTCCCTTCTTAGACCACCAGTCACGTGAAGAGCAACGCAACTAGTTAAAATAGAACAGGATTTTCGGAACCAGAGCTAACTCGATGAAAAAGAAGTTAACTTAGCTGAAGTGTTGCCGAGGAAAAAAGTGTTTGTTTACGTTCTCGAGAGGATTCAAGCTTTGATGGGTGAAGACGAGCCGTTTTAGAGCAAATTATGTGTTCGCGAGACTGACGGATTATGTCGGATGACGAACTTGCGGCAATAATTTGTTATTCCTTTTTATTATTATTTTTTTGCGTTGAACTGTGACTGAAATAGTTACACCGCAGCTTGAAATAATTTCCTGCTTAAAACTGCATTGTTGGATGTTGTAGGTTAATATGTGTGTGGTTTATATATTGGACAGTATTCAAAGTTGTTATTATTAATTCTTCTATTTCTCATTCCCTCTTTCCCTTCTCTCTCTCTCTCTCTGTCTCTCTCTCTCTCTCTGTCTCTCTCTCTCTCTCTCTCTCTCTCTCTCTCTCTCTCTCTCTCTCTCTCTCTCTCTCTCTCTCTCTCTCTCTCTCTCTCTCTCTCTCTCTCTCTCTCTCTCTCTCTCTCTCTCTCTCTCTCTCTCTCTCTCTCTCTCTCTCTCTCTCTCTCTCTCTCTCTCTCTCTCTCTCTCTCTCTCTCTCTCTCTCTCTCTCTCTGATCACATTACAACATGCCCCAGATCAGTAGAAGTGCAGTGGTTGAGTGCGTGTGACTATACAGTTAAGATAACCTATGCGTGGTTTACGTGTGGGAGCTCCAGCTGTTGGTCTCCCATCTTCCTTCACTCACTAATTGTATTATTACAGGAGCTGGCTAGGCATTTTATTTGCACATGTGAGTGTGTGTGTGTGTGTGTGTGTGTGTGTGTGTGTGTGTGTGTGTGTGTGTGTGTGTGTGTGTGTGTGTGTGTGTGTGTGTATGTGTGTGTGTATGCGTATGCTCAAGTGAATATGAGTGCGTGCATTTACTTGTGATGGATTGCGTGTGAAATTTTCTCGTTCTTGTTTGCGTGAAAGAGAGAGACAGACAGAGATGTAGCGTGAAAGAGGGACCTTGTGTGTGTGTGTGTGTGTGTGTGTGTGTGTGTGTGTGTGTGTGTGTGTGTGTGTGTGTGTGTGTGTGTGTGAGAGGGAAGGGGGGTGTGCGTGTGGCTATGTGAGTTAGCGTGTGTCGTTGTGTGTGTGTGTGAGGTTGAATCCGTAGGTGTGAGTGGAATGTATTTACTCTTTGCATCTGTAAAATCGTGCTATTAACTCTTGTACCTATTTTCTGCTAAGTGAACGGGTGCATCAGTTGAAAGAAACTCTTACCATTTGTTTCCGCCTCGGGAAAGACATTAACCCTCTAAAAAAAATGAAAGTTAGAAACAAAAACGAAGAGAAGCGACAAGATAATCTTTAACTCGGGTATAGATGACTCTGAGTGTCAAACCAATTTGGCTTCTCTGGCAGGAGTTGCTAAGTACGGGTGTCGTCTGGCATCGTTAACATTAAGAATTCAGTGGGTCTTATTTTCAGGTCCTGAACGACAACAAACATCGTCTTCCATTATATTAGAAAGTAATTATTTGGGTGGTTATAACCTAAGTATATTATCAATATTATTGCAAGATCGATATCCAGGCGATGAGTCACGATAACATGGCAGAAGATGTCGACTTGAGAATGGTCCAGGACGGACCGAAACGTCGTCGTTCTAGTGTGTGGTCTGGTCAACATCGTAAGACTGGTCAACATCTGGTCTTACGATGTTGACCAGACCACACACTAGAACGACGACGTTTCGGTCCGTCCTGGACCATTCTCAAGTCGATATCTTCTGCCATGTTATCGTGACTCATCGCCTGGATATCGATCTTGCAATAATATTGATAATAGCACTAATAATAATAATAACAAAATAAAGAGGAGAAGCATTGCATGGTGAGCAAGACTGCAACCAAACAAGCACACCAACACACCAGGAACATCAATGTATCATTGTTTGGTGTAAACTTTACGGTTGATGTCAATAGTTCCAAGCTTCAGAGCTGAAATATTTCCAAGCGTCACGAAATATTCAACTTTTTAACAACTTTCATTAAAAACAGAAAATAACAATACGGTATATGAACAAAATATTAAATTTTGGGGAATCGTCAGAAGCATTGTTTGTTCCCCTTTAAGGTGACTTGTTCTTCCTGCATAAACTCTATAGAAAATTATTGACAAAAAACTTAACTAACGATAGTAGACCAAAATTTGCACTATATGGGTCTAGTCGAACCTGATCTCGTCCCAAATAAAGTACTTATATGTAGTTCATTTGGCTTAAATTCTCATTATCAAGGACGCCGTTGGCTGCCCTATGGCACCCGTTGTGCCCAAGGTGGCACCCGTTGTGCCCAAGGTGGCACCCGTTGTCCCCAAGGAGGCACCCGTTGTGCCCAAGGTGGCACCCATCGTGCCCAAGGTGGCACCCATCGTGCCCAAGGTGGCACCTATTGTTGCCAAGTTGGCAAGCGGCCAGCAGTGCCTGCCCTTGGTTCCTTAAACCCAATCCAAAACAAATGCATAATTATAACATTATATTGCTGTTTGTTTTGATATTTCAAACATTATTGCTGAAGGTGGACAGCCGCTCCTTGATGCAGAGTAGATATTATCGTGGCCACAATGTTTTCTTTTCCGCGTCGATGGTTTCCCAGCAGAATTAGGACTATGGCGTCGGGATTGATAAGTGAGAGAAACAGGAAAAAGTTCAACAACAATACCTTTTTTAAAGACTCATAAAAAAAATTGAGATTTTTGTGAGCTTCAGGGAGGCCTGACAGCAGAGTGAACAGCGCTCAGGATTCGTTGTCCTGAGGTTCCGGGTTCGATCCCCGGTGAAGGCGGAAGCAAATGGGAAGAGTTTCTTTCACCCTGATCCTCTTGTTCAACTAGCAGTAAATAGATACCTGGGAGTTAGACAGCTGCTACGGGCTGCTTCCTGGGGGGTTTGTGCAACAAAAAAGGAGGCCTAGTCGAGGACCGGGCCGCTGGGACGCTAAGCACCCGAAATCATCTTAAGACAACCCTCAAGTTAGGAGAGTGCAGCCGGCACCACGTCAACAACAGCCCCAATTTACGCCGCCACACGTCCCCATTTTTCCAGCCTGGCGCTCGTCAGATTCTAGGAATGTGTCCGTGATCAATAGCGAAGTGTTTACTGCCAGCGAACGCGATCAACGCGATGTGCCAGGCAGCTAACAACCATGAGTGTAGTGGCAGTGTTGGCATAACTAGCTGGCTTATACCAGAGACAAGGTCAGCTAATCAGTGTATGTGATAATGTGATTACAATATGAATTATTGAGGTGGTTGTAGGCGAGAGTCATCCTTACAGCACAGATGTTCCAAAGGTTTCACACTTCCCAGAAAGTGTGCCTTAGCTTGAACTTGAGTTCGTGAAGAAAGATCGTAAGTCCAGTCGAGCCCTCAAGTGAATTCTTAAGTTAGAACAAGAAACTAAATTTGCAACTAAAGATTAAGGCCTTAAACAAACTCTTAAACAACTTAAACAAGTAGGAGTTAGAAGCTAGAACCATCTGCTCAAAGCCATAAGTGTTTGAGGAGGTAGTTCTAAGACAGATACTCCTTTCCTGGAGACGGAAAGGCCGTATTTCCTGAGGCCCCTAATGAGGAAATTCCTCATTTACCGAAGTGAGGAGCAACATCATTCATCACGAGACTTACAGGCTTCCCTGTAAGTCACACAAATCGTCTTGAAACGTCCCTAAGTAGGTTCGGGGAATATGTCCATTTGATTTTCCACCGTATAATCCGCTATCACAACTTGGGGAACTGAACTCGTCTCTACCAGTGCCTCGGTGAGAATCGCGAAGAGAAGCTCATTGATCCTACTCGACCGGCTGTCACCTCAGTAGATACTATGCATATCAGTGTGGCGTCTCACCCACGTTGGCTGCCCCATCACCCACGCTGGCTACACCATCACCCACACTGGCTGCACCATCACCCACGTTGGCTACACCATCACCCACGCTGGCTACACCATCACCCACACTGGCTGTCCCATCACCCACGCTGGCTACACCATCACCCACACTGGCTGCACCATCACCCACGCTGGCTACACCATCACCCACACTGGCTGTCCCATCACCCACACTGGCTACACCATCACCCACGCTGGCTACACCATCACCCACACTGGCTACACCATCACCCACGCTGGCTACCCCATCACCCACACTGGCTGTCCCATCACCCACGCTGGCTACCCCATCACCCACGGTGGCTGCCCCATCACCCACGGTGGCTGTCCCATCACCCAGCCAACCAACATGTCCTGCGGGTCACGCTTCAACTCCTCCCTGATGTTCCACATAACTTTCATAGACTTGGAATTCAGTCATATAATTTGCATGCATTGAATAAACGCCGCTTCCCAAATGTTGGTTGATTATTGGGACGTATGTTGAGTTACTCACTCCCATAATAATTGCAATAGTGAACGGCGCTCGGTGTATCTAATTCAATCTGTAAAGCTGAATAAGCAATCGCCTGCCAATATATATATATATAATATAAGCAATTATTATGGTAAACGCTATTTAAAACGCATCCAGTCCGTTCAGTAATGCGTTAACACTCTAGCTAATTGGTTAGTTATGCGGTTCGAGCTTTATTTAATTTCTCAGATATGTGGCAGGGAGAATAAATTAGTTACTCAGGTATTTACTAATGAAAACAATTATATCTTTCCGATGCTTAATCTTCGTAATCACTCAAGTGGAGGTTAAAGTTACTTAGAACAACTTTGGGTTCCAGCCCAACTCTAGTGGGGTGGGGGGGGGTAGGGAAGGTGAGGTCTAAAGTTTGTAAAAAATACAAGATATTTGAGATATAAAGTTTTAAGCTGAAGCAAACTTTAGGCGAGACTCTGGAGTTAACGACATGACGTGATGAATTAAAGAAGTTGTCCCTTATGGAAAGACGTGTCGGGTTAGTTGACAACTTGTGTGGAAGGTCCCCAAGTGACGTGTACTGGAGTGTGTCAAGTGGAGGGTCCCCAGGTGACGTGTACTGGAGTGTGTCATGTGGAAGGTCCCCAGGTGACGTGTACTGGAGTGTGTCAAGTGGAAGGTCCTCAGGTGACGTGTACTGGAGTGTGTCATGTGGAGGATCCCCAGGTGACGTGTACTGGAGTGTGTCAAGTGGAGGGTCTTCAGGTGACGTGCACTGGAGTGTGTCATGTGGAGGGTCCTCAAGTGACGTGTACTGGAGTGTGTCAAGTGGAGGGTCCCCAAGTGACGTGTACTGGAGTGTGTCAAGTGGAGGGTCCCCAAGTGACGTGTACTGGAGTGTGTCATGTGGAAGGTCCCCAGGTGACGTGTACTGGAGTGTGTCAAGTGGAGGGTCCCCAAGTGACGTGTACTGGAGTGTGTCAAGTGGAGGGTCCCAAGGTGACGTGAACTGGAGTGTGTCAAGTGGAAGGTCCTCAGGTGACGTGTACTGGAGTGTGTCAAGTGGAATGTCCCCAAGTGACGTGTACTGGAGTGTGTCAAGTGGAAGGTCCTCAGGTGACGTATACTGGAGTGTGTCAAGTGGAAGGTCCTCAGGTGACGTGTACTGGAGTGTGTCATGTGGAGGGTCCTCACGTGACGTGTACTGGAGTGTGTCAAGTGGAGGGTCCTCAGGTGACGTGTACTGGAGTGTGTCAAGTGGAAGGTCCTCAGGTGACGTGTACTGGAGTGTGTCATGTGGAAGGTCCCCAAGTGACGTGTACTGGAGTGTGTCAAGTGGAAGGTCCTCAGGTGACGTGTACTGGAGTGTGTCATGTGGAGGGTCCCCAAGTGACGTGTACTGGAGTGTTGTCACCAGCAAGCAAGGACAACAAACAACACACTGAGCCATCAACACCCACAGTAAACCCACAACCCCAGACAAATAATCTCATCCCACTCTAAGAATTAGCAACGATCAAAATCTAATTCTGTCGACCGGTGTGTCTCCCAGGTCTCTCTCCAGCCCGTCCACTCGACCAGCTCGTCCACTCGACCAGCCCGTCCAATCGACCAGCCCGTCCAATCGACCAGCCACTCTGTAACAAATGTAACTATTTTACCTAACCAGTTACATGCGGTCCCACGTTACTATTGAGGCCAATGGAAAACGTTTCTATTACGTGGCTCTAATGTTTAACAATACAATTGATATGTTAAATGGATTGGTCGATTCCGTTCAAAATATGACGTATTAGACTGGAGGTCGTGGTATGCGATGCCAGGCTCGACATTTTGTTGCATAGCGCCCTTAATACTCGCCCCGTCTCCCAGTCTTCTCTCACAAAGTGAAAAGTGCAAAATATAAAGTAGTTTTACCTACATTGGAGGAGGATATATGATCAGAGATGGACAAGCAGCGTAAAGCTTGTAGGGGTCGGGAAGTCGTAGGCGGGGAAGACTAAGTAAGAGAGGGGGATATACATTACCAGGGAGGAGGGTCCGCCACTCTCGCTTGTTATCAATACAGTGCTGACACGCACTCATTGAGAGCGTTGATGATTAAGTGCATATCGTCAAGGGTAAGCTGGGGCGCAAGAGTGAAAGGTTCCGCACTGTGCGTTGGCCAGGGCTTTGTATTCACCGTCGTGGCCTCAGCATTTATCTTATTGACAAGAGGAATAATTTTGTTTGCAAGTTTCTACTCGCCTGATTTTTTTTTTGGTCAATTTTAAGTACATACTTCCTTATGGATCCTGTGAATCAATGCGTGATGTTTGTCAAGACTCGAGTCAGTGCCACAGTTATCATCTTTCGTTCCCTCATGATGACATACGTGGCACTCATTATAAAATAATTAAGAGTGCTTATTGCCCAGTCGATAGAGCATCGGCCTCACATGCGTGGGGTCCACGGTTCGAGACTCCTACAGCCCAGGTGAGTGGAAACTTGTGGCAGCCCTTGTGTTACTCAAGATGGCATTGTTGATGGTCATCCAGTTCCTTGCAATAACGTGGTATTCCTTCTCCAATATTCCATATGATCGTTATGATGCCAAGAAGTGCTTTGCATCATTCATTGACGTTAAAGTGCCTAGTGGAGGGCTTTTGAATGATTCATCTCATTATATTGTAGTGTTTTAAATATGGGGTTTGAAAACTTTCATGGGTATGGTCATGTTCTTGGAATGTGAATATGTTGATATTTTGTCATGTTAGATTATAGTGAAAATAACGAAGTTGTCAACACTCTGTTGCACCAATATGACCTGCACCACAGTGGTTGCACCGGAAGCAACATTGTTATTTCGTATACTGCCTCTTATAGAGCAATTATCGTACTCGAGTTGAAGAGATGTTAGTTGTCTTCATAATACTTTAATAATTTATTGTTCATAATAGGATAATACTGAACCCTCAGAAAGGCTTGTTATTGTGGTTTAGTTCAACAGCTTCGTCTCCTGACCACATTCTTAAATGCTCATCCTTCAATTTTTCATTGATGTTTATTCATGCGAATAACTCAATGAATATTGAATTCATTCGCATGAATTCAATATTCATAATTGAATTATTCATTCGTAAAATATACATTATTCCTTGTTATACGTAAGAAAGCTGTTCCGAAAAAACTTATGCCCTTAAGATTACATGGAAAAAGACAAAATTTATTCTAAGAAAGCAGGTTAATTTTCTTTTCACTTTAATAAAACATTTATCTGAGCATTGTTAGTACGTCCTCGTTCCACTTCTCAGACATGAATATAAAGCATAAAGCAGACTGTTCACTCGACAATAATGTAGATGCGAATAAGCCTTTTGTTTCTTCATGGAACAATCTTTCAGGACATTAGACGCCACAGAACACTTCTAAGGTGCCATTATGCAAGGAATTGATCCAGTAAGTGCACAAATCACAGAGGAGAGACTGTTCACTTGAGGTGAGGAGCCTCAGCACTTGTTTTTACCTATATTTTTGGTACTATGTACTATGGTACATAGTACATTTTACATAGTACATTTTTTGGTACTATGTGCCTTCCTCGTATAGATATTTTGATGCTCTTGGTAAAGATTGAGCGTATGGCAATTGTTTGCGTGTGTGTAGAGGTATTTTGCTGCAAAAATCAGTTCAATAGATCACATAAATTTTGAGGAACGTTTAAAATTTCTAAATTTGTATTTTCTAGAGAGCAGGGGAGAGAGGTTCATAATAATTTAGCGATGAAAAGTAATAGAGAAACTGGTTCCAAATCTGCATTTGGAAATAACTCCATTCGAAACCAGGAGGCATGGCAGGAAGTGCAAGATAGCCCCCATGACAAGCAGAGGAGCAACAGATACGCCAAGAAACAATTCTTTCAATCTCAAGGGAGCAAGAATTTTGCATTCGTAAATATTGCAGTGTTTTTTTGAATCACTAAAACATTGATTTTTGTTATGTGAGATAGCATCAAAACTGCGATGCACTAAGTGTGAGGACAGCCCGCCAAATACACACCGAAACTACGACGTTGGTACAACGTTCGAACAAGTTTTAACACCTAACCAGTTATAACAACCAATATAGCAAGTTGTAACAACGTTCTAATACGTCATAAACATGTGCCGTTCAACAACTTATTATTATTACGCTGGAATAAAACAAACTATAATTAGTTTAATTAGTTTAATTAGTTTTTGTTAATGACCCCTTGAATAAATAGTGAACCAATTATTCACAATATGACGTAATTGCTGTACTCTAGCCTTCTGTAATTTTGGGCAGGATACAGTTTTCTCTCCATGTGAGTGAGGGTCTAACCATGACACGATCTGGCTCAGTTGCGGGGTTGAGCTTTGGCTCTTTGGTCCCGCCTCTCAACTGTCAATCAACTGATGTACAGATTCCTGAGCCTACTGGGCTCTATCATATCTACATTTGAAACTGTGTATGGAGTCAGCCTCCAACACATCACTTCCTAATGCATTCCACCTGTTAACTACTGTGGTGTTAGTCCTGTGACACTGAACTACCATGGGGGAGCTTCTACCATCAAAAATCAACGACTGTTTGAAGATTCTACCAGGATATTCAATTACTATGACAACCTACTGCGATTATAATCTACTATTATGATACCCTGCTACATTAATAATCCAGTGTCATGATAACCTACAACCATGATAATGTTATCATAATAATTATTCTACTACCATGAAAACTCTCATAATCATCTACTATCATGATACTCAACTGTCAGAATAATTATATCATTACAATCTACTTCAATAATAATCTACAATAAAAATCTACTACAATGATACTCTATTTCAATGAAAATTTACTACCATAAGAATCTACCACCGTGTGAGACTGCTTCTAGTTTTGTTGGCCTACAAATGAATGTCAAATATTATTTTAAAGCTTTTATATTGCATGAGAAATAATATGCTCCTTAACCCATTTTCTTTCACTGTTATAAAGCCAAGGACAACCACAGTCACCATTGCATAAAATCTTGTAAAGCAAGTCGCTAGAAAAGACCAACTAACAGCTTTATAATTATATCGTTATACGCTACAACGTTTTGTTTTGTTTTATGTGGGAATTAAATATGTACATAGATTTGCCTTTATATTTTCAGTCCAGCAAACACGCTCAATTATATTGCATGTTTTGGTTCTAATTAAGCCAGCTCAGTTTCGATGCAATATATATTATTTTTCTTTCAATTAAGGGAACCTAAATTCGAAGCAAAGATTATTTTTCTCCCAATTAAACAAACGTCGATGCCAATGGACGGTTTTGAGTTTCAATTTAGCGAACCTTATTTTAATAATTCGTTAAATCAAATCGTCGAAAAAGAGATCATTTGTTGTAAATGACGTAATTGAAGGTAGCGGGACTTGTATAGATCACGTATTTATCGGTTCAGGTCGCGTGTTCTATCATGTCAACCTGATGGTTTATTAAGTTGACGACCAAAACAGCTCTTGCCAGCCCCTTTACGACTCTTGACAACCTGCACACGACTCTTGACAACCAGCACACGACTCTTGACAACCCAAACACGACTCTTGACAACCAGCACACGACTCTTGACAACCCAAACACGACTCTTGACAACCCACACGACTCTTGACAACCCACACGACTCTTGACAACCTACAAGGCTCCTATTTCCAAAACCCTTATCCACTTAAGTTGTTTGTTTTGGTGTTGGACTTAACAACCGCGGGAGGGTTATTAAGACCACCACAAAAGCTTACACTGACCAACCAGCAAGTCTGCTTTAGTCCTGAGCTTAATCCAGGACTCTAAAGTATAAACATTCAGTACATATATACACCGGAAAGCGCCGGGAATAACCACCACTCATGGTATATATATATATATATATATATATATATATATATATATATATATATATATATATATATATATATATATATATATATATATATATATATATATATATATATATATAAATTCTCATCTGCTGTGGGTGGGTGTGTATTTATTATTTGTTTATTTTCGTTTTGGAGGGGTGGGGGAGGAGGAGGCTGCTGTGTTCGTTAATGTGAATTCGGTGTTTGAATATTGAAACTTATCGAGAGTTATTTAAATGTTAGGTTTATGCAAATTCCAGAAGGATTTAACGTTAAACAAATTCTTTACGAAGTCCTGATGTTTGCCTTTTTTTTTTTATTATTCATATATACAAGAGTTTTTACATTCTTGTACAGCCACTAGGACGTATAGCATTTCGGACAAGTCCTTAATCCTAATTTCCACACACATACATCCCCCAGGAAGCAGCCCGTAGCAGCTGTCTAACTTTCAGGTACCTATTTACTGCTAAGAAACAGGGGTATCTGGTTGAAAGAAACTGTGCTCATTTGTTTTCGCCTTCCGCCGGGGATCCAACCC